AGATTGCTCTAATAGCTGTGATAAGTGACGTCATCATTACATCACTATCAGTCAAATTAACCCATATGTATATACTGACATTTATCCGTTGCTTATTATCACTTACTAGACACATACTCGTCCCCAGTGCACCTCGGTCGTCCCTTCTCCCTTCGTTAGCACTGGTAACAGCCGTTTGAGGCTCGATGCTGATTGGCTAGAAAGTTCGAGCATGCGCGATTTTCGCCATACATTCAACCGTATCTCCTCGCTCTTGATTGGTCGATTTATAAGGATGCTCGGAGCTTTTTAGATGGAAACCTAGTGCGCATAAAGTCAAATAAACAAAGCTGACCTTTTCCTAACGGGCTCAGGTCGAATTTCAAAATGGCGGGTGAGATTTCCGAAGCTGTCAACAAAACCAAAATTCGACTAGGTATTTCTTTCAACCTTCGCTCGTTTAAACTCCTATACATCTACTTTAAGGTGGATGGATCATACAGACATGGAAGCTGTTCATTTGCGTGACTTACCACTGGCTAAAGATTTCCAAATCCGGAAGACAGAACATAAATGCAGTCTTTTTTTTCGTGAGCAATAACTCTGATTACATTTTCCTGTTCCGCACGAAGGTTGAAATAAATATTTAGTCGTAATTTGGCTTTGTTAACAGCTTCGGACAGACTACACGACTCATCCGCATTTTCAAGAGTCTTTCATTCCCGCCTTTTTATCAAAAACATCAACTATCATGCATTGCCCGCGATATGCGTGCGGTCAGCGTCAACAAATGTCCCTGCTGTTGTATGTTACTTGTGAAGAATTCACTCCTCGGCACATGTGACTCTTTAATGTCAATACCAATGTAAAATCAGTTCTATAACAATTACATGGACATAAATTTGTCTTGTGTAGGACTGGTGTCGGTGGTGTCTTCAGGGGAAGGATTAGGACATCTCAGGAGGTTGTTCTTTTGGCAGTTCCTCCGCTGTGGGTAGGGGAGGGGCGGGAGATCGTTCCTGAGCTTTAGATCCTTCGTGCTTGGTGGGCTCCGTGTACTTCATTGTGTGGTGGGCTGTGGTTTCGATTCCTTGGGTGATGGGCGTGTACACTCGGAGGAAACGACGGTTGCGTAGTGTAAGGCGGCCCGAGCCGTCTACCTTGACAGTGTATTGATCGTGGCTTTTGGTCTCCACTACAGTGCCGGACTTGCCGGACTTGTACTCCAAAGGTGGCGAAGAATGATCGGAGGTGGCGTATTAGGCCAGTGGCACCTGCAAGGTTTGTGCTTGACGGCGATGCGAATATCTCGACCCATCCGGACAGGCGGTCACCGACCACGAGATAGTGCTGTCCTCCATGGGTGAAGAAGTCGGCGAACACTGATTCAAACGGCGTTGAGGGTGGTGGTGACGGGATGGTAGGGGGGGGGGGGGTGTTGTGAGAGTGCATTCCTGTTGCAGTCACCGCAGCGTTCCCTTGTGAAGTGAATGTCCTTTGTCATCCCGGGCCAAAAAACTCCATGGCTGAGGTTCCTTGGTGGGCTGAGTGGAGGTGTTGCAGGATAAGTCCTCGGAGTGGTGATGGGATTATGACACGGTCTTGGTACATAAGTACGCCATGGTCAGAGTAGATAGACTCTCGTAGTGGCCAGAACGCTCCAAGCTCAGGGTCAGACTGATATGATGTCGTGTCGTTCTGCTCAATGGTGGAGAGGAGGCGATGTAGGGACGGGTCAGCTATTGTCTCTTGTGCAATGTGCGCCCATGTGATTTTTCCTAGTTCCTTTGTCTCTTCGCGGATTGCGGCCATTAACATCGATTCTTGGATGTCTGCTGGGCTATCTGGGGCGGATGGCGATGGGTAGCGCGAGGTAGCGTCCGCTGCATAGTTGAGTTTCCCTGGGAGGTGGACGATGTCGAATCGCCATGGGAGTGTTCGCTGCTTTAGCCTGAAGAGGCGCGAGCTAGTTATCTCGTCGAGCGTGCGGTCTCCAAGGATCTTGGTTAGAGGCTTATGGTCAGTCACAACGACGAGGTCGTCACATCCCTGTGTGAAGTAGCGGGTCTGTTCGAGTCCCCAAGCGACTGCTAAGGGCTCTCCTTCAATGGCTGCGTAACGTTGTTCGGTGGGCGAGAGGAAGCGTGAGCCAGCTAGCGCGATCCTCCATCCTCCAGGGCAGCAGTCAGGGACTCCTGATGCGCAATCACAGTGCTTCTGAAGTAAGAAGTATCCAATCCCGTGGGTTGACCAATCGGGTCGTAGGCAGGTTCGACGCTTCATATCAAATATCTCTACGCCCTGGCGTATAGCATCGGTGATTTCGCGTTTTGACTTCTGGAATATGTCGTCGAGCTCCTGTGACCACTTAAATTTGCACCGTGGGCTGAGAAATGGTTTAAAGGGCGACCTGGCGGCCTGGTGGATTTTCTCTTTGAGGGCACGAGCATTGGTCATCAGTGTTATGCTCCGACCTACTTGTAGTGATGGTTATCGAGTCGAGCTTTGACGGGTTGGGGTCTGTTGGGAAGTCCTGAGGTAGGATGCCGAGGTTTAAGAGCGTTTCACAGGACAGGTACATGGTGTTGACAGCGCTGCTGACGTACACCATTGCGCGACAGGTCTCGTCTTTTCCCATCCTGGTTGTTGAGAGCTTGGCGAAGAACGCACCCTCTATAGGGATTGGCGAGCGGTTGGCTGCTGAGAGACTGAGACTAACGGGTCTGAGGATTTCCCTTGGGAACCCGCATGCCAGGAACTCGTGTAGCGACCATATATCAGACTGTGCGCCGGTGTCTGCGATCGCTTTCACTTCCGCTCGGGGTGTGTCTCGGCCGTGTTTGCTGGAAGCAGAATCAGCTGTGTCCGGTGTGATCTCGATGTTCACCGTGGGGTGGGCATGGAGGCACCCTCGTCTCCACGCTCCCTTGGAAAAGACGTGGTGACCTATTAGTGACGGTTGTTTCTCGTTCACATAGTTGTGCGTCGGCCCACGACGTGTTCTGCGGCGTGTTGCGTTCCGTGTTGGGCGTGCATGGTTTGGGTGAATGGCGGCCAGTTGTGATATTTGCTCGGAATATTCATCCCCAGAGACGGCTGATGCTGAGGCCGTATTCATTTCGCTTGATAGAAAGTACGTTCGTTATCTTTGATTTTCCAATGATCATCGCAGTGAAATATAACAATCGAAGTGATTAAATGGATCGCCCTAAAAATTCGGGCTTCAACGGGAATCGAACCAATGAACTCTGTGATGCCGGTGCAGTGCAGTGCTATCATTTGGAAACAAAAAAGTTTCTGTGTGATGCTAAACCTTAGTGTGACTGTCAAATTAAAAGAGAGCGATCGAGTCAAAATATAACCGTATTGCTAATCATCAATAATGGGAGGGGATCTCTTTGTTTTTTATATCCAGTTTCTGAAACTCACACAAAAAAACAGGCAGTCATTAAAATGCATTTCATTCTGTAGTCCTTTTTAATAGCGATTGCTGTCATTCTGTAGTCCTTTTTAATAGCGATTGCTGTCATTCTGTAGTCCTTTTTAATAGCGATTGCTGTYCCTGATGCTGACGTATTAATGGACTGGGCCAAAAAGAAAGGAATTATGGGAACGATAACAGTACTTTGTMAAATGAAGGTAMTATCATGATCTTATTTCAAGTATTTGCTATCAAGCTAATTTTTGGGGTATGCTTCGTATTATGTTATACGTATTACTGATATCTGACGTAATTGATTTAAAATATCACTTATGCCGCGATTTAACAGGTACATATCGTCCAAGCCACGGTGAACTATGAGATCATCAACTATTAATGAGTTCTTGCTTCCAGTGGGAACAGATAGTTCTTGCTTCCATTGGGAACAGACAGTTCTTGCTTCCAGTGGGAACAGACAGTTCTTGCTACAAAAAAAATCTTAGGATGCGTTTTAAGATGTCAGTAAAGATGTTTGATATTTTCAAAACTGCATACATTTTATGATTAGGGCTTATCGCTCAAACCAAACCACTGAAAAAGATGAACCCAACTGTATATTTTTGAAAAGAAAAGGATGTTCCTTTTCGTGCAAACAACACACGTGATAAGCCATTCAAAAAGTATCCGGATACACATGGAAAGTCACACTCGACTTCGAACTTTTGTTAAAAAATCTTGGGGTTTTTCCTGCGCTTGAATTTCATTCTGATTTTATGCCTTTGTCTCACTACAGATTGTTACGGACACAATTCTAGAGGACTGCTTAAGACGAGGGAAAGAATCAAATTTGAACAGACTAGAGCAGGTTGGTATTGCTCGCGGGTGGTATTGCTGAATCCAATCTTGTAACGCTTCTCTTAATTCACGATCTCCTCCGATGAAATTCGTTTCATTATTTATTAGTTGATGAGTATGTTAGCTGGATGATTGAGTAGTTCCTTAATTAACTAGTGATTTATAAATTGGCTTGCTTTTGACTTAAATTATTTGTTTAATAATTAATTGTCTTCTTTCCAGATTAARCACTTGCACTTGCATCCTGAGCCATTCTCCTCTGAAAACAAACTTCTTACTCCGACACTGAAAAACAAAAGACCAGCCATAACCAAGTTTTTCCAAAAG